TGTATGTATATGTAAATATATACATATATATATGTGTGTGTGTGTGTGCGTGTGTGTGTATATGAGACAAGACCATTCTCTACGCCTGAGCAGGAAGCAAGACAGCCTCTTTATTTCTCTTTCGGAGACCGAGAAGTCGCTCTGATCGATCCCTTAGCCCTCCTTAACCTGTGTTAAAAAACAACGATCATTAAACGTGCGTACCTTCTACATCTCATGCTAGACCTGCTCGCTGTACCACGTCATGTGAAAGAAGGGGCCGTAATTGACAGAGACAGGAGACTCCGGCAAAACAGAGAGCTCCGTCGATTTTCGGAGAGAAACCACAGCACGCCCCCCCTCTCTTGGGACACAACACGAAACAAACCAGTTTGCTTTGCCCTGTGATGGAGCGAGGCTACGTCGGCTCAGGTGTGCGATGCTAGAGCATTCTGCATACAGAGCGGCTGAAGATGTGTTCCATCGTCAGCCAACAAAGTGGACAATTCCCCAAATATGTCTTTGAGCTCTCTATCTAGGCCAGGCTCAAGGATCCGATAGCTTGGTCGGAGACAGTACATGTTTGAAGGCTTTGGAATTCAAAGATGGGCTTGCCCCAAATGCTAGCTCATGGAGCTGTGGGACCTCCAAAGGTGTTCCTAAATTTGGCCCTCGCAAGACCGGAAGTTTCGGGGCTCTACATCACTTCAGGGCTGGGACTTCAACAGTGCGCTCTGGTCTCCAGGGTCTTTGCCAGTACAGCCGTTTGTCATGAACTCCTTTCCCAACCAATAAGTGTGCACGTCTATTTCCGCTCATCAGTACAAGCTTCTGCTGTTTGCTGCTTGGCTTTTCTCAACAGGATCCTTGATCATAGACTGGTCCATTGCCCTTGAAGACATGCGATGAGGAAATTCACAGTTCTAAAGGAAAGTTGTTTTCACTGGTGTTCGCGGCTTTATCGGTATTGTCGAGTGGCTTTGGCGAGCCGACGTCAAGACGGGGGTATATTGGGGAGCGACAATGAATGTGCGTAGATACATGTATACATACATCCATAAATCACATACATCTTGGCACTCACGCTCGACATACATACATACATACATACATACATACATACATTTTAGCGCTGGCACTCGACGAATCATACATACATACATACATACATACATACATACATACACGTCACATACGCACGCACGTACATACGCATCTACATACATACATGCATACATACGTACATACCTACCTACCTACCTACCTACCTACCTACCTACATACATACATAAATACATACATGTCACATACGTACACATGCACATACGCATCTACATACATACATACATACATACATACATACAGACAGACATACAGACAGACAGACAGACAGACCGACGGACGGACGGACGGACAGACAGACAGACAGACATACCTACACGTCACATACGTACACACGTACATACGCATCTACATACATACATACATACATACATACATACAGACAGACAGACAGACAGACAGACAGACATACATGCACCTGGATACAAAGATAAAGCCAGCGATCTGCTCTACCCGAACCCGTCTTGTACACACAAGATGTCGGTGGACCCTCTTCTCTCCTTCCACGAGTGCGAAACTGGTCAGCAGCGACCAGAGCACCGGGCTTACTCGCACCTCGTGGTCGGTCATGATGGCCGCCATCCGGTGAAAGTACTCCGGAGTACGAGCCGAAAAGTAGTCTGCCCGAGATTTAAAGAGCTGACCCCAGAGGGCCTCGTCGCAAGTGAAGACGCAACAGAGTCCGAGCACCCCCAAGCGGTGCGGGAGGGACGGGCTGGTGTCCGTGCAAAGGCCTTCTGCACGGTGCAGATCCACTAAAGCCTGGCCCAGCGCCTCTGCATCACGGTTGAGCGCACCACGCATAGCCAAGCGAAGCTGATCGACCAAGAGCTGTGGCAGCTCCAAAGCCATACCAGCATCAATGAAAGTGAGCTTCGGTTCGCCATGCTTCATGGTCACTAATATGTTGCCTGGATGCAAATCTGCGTGCAGGAAGTTGTCAGCCAACACCATCTTGGCGGCTTGATCAGACAGGATGGACCACACTTTGTGGCGGAGCACCGGATCCCTTTCATGTTGTAGGAATAGAGACAAAGACTGCCCCTCCACAAGTTCCATAATCAAGATCTTCTCGCTTGCAGCGAAAACCTTGGGCACCTGGGCAACGCTGTTCTGGAGATTGTCTGCGAAGCGTCTGAGGTTGGAGGCCTCGTGCTGCAAGTCGACCTTTTCGGCTTTGGGAACTAGCTCGGTTCGACAGATTCACTCAAGTTTCCGGCTCCTCCACATGCACTATGATACAATGACATGTGCGGCCTGGGTCTCATATTGGCGCGAGTCCGAAACGTGAGAAGGGCCAACTCAGGTGAAGTCTTTGCGAATCCTGCCTGGCTCAGCATGTAGTGCTTGAAGTCTTTCAGCGCACTCTGCAGCATCAGCCACTGTAGGCTTGGCCACAGTGTTTCTGCAACACAAGCAGCACACCTCACCAGGCTAACGTGCCTTGGGTAAGTGCCCCCGAATTTACATGACTGCCTACATGACGAGCGCACGAGACCAGGACACATTGCCTGAGGAATTGAAAGTCCAGTTGTAGGAACTCCTCCACATTGTCCCGGCGGATTTTGATGGCCACTGGGTGCCCATGCAGAGTTCCCTCATAAACCCGGGCAATGCAACCAGCTCCCAGAATTCCTTGCGAAAGCTCACGGTTGCTTTATGGTTATGTGACTCATGACCCCTGGGCCGTGTCGTGAAGCTGCTGACGGAGATTCTATGAAGTTTGGCACCTGGCATCGTTGCCTCAACGATTGCGGCATCTTGCTCCGAAGGTTGAGCACTCACCTGTGCCAAGCACCAAGTCCGATACAAGACCAGCGACTGCGGACGTTTTATCGGCGAGGCTCAGAACAGGCCAGTGAGAGCAAACGAACCCACTGCTTTCAACTTCATCCAAGCCGCATGCTCGTGAAGCACCCCCATTGCGTCACACAGCTCCGCAGAGAGGAGATCTCTCCGAGACGATAACCACTGGCCAAGCCTTCACTTGTCTTGCAGGTCCGACACGCAAAGCTTCATGGTTTGCCTTTGTGTCTAGACGGGGGCAGACGGATTGTGTCAGGCGGCTTGATGAAAACCGGCCCTGACGCGTCCATGCACAATGCGATCCTGACAGTATGCACATGAGACATCAGTCCAAGCACCCTTAGCTCTTTGCGTATGGCACATGCGTGCTGCACTGCACATTCCCAGGATCTGATCTGGGCTGTCGGAAAACAGAGCAGGTGCCCAAATCCTGCACAGGGCGCCCGCAATGCCTTGGCTCTCCGTGAGCTGTGCCGCACCGCGCCTCGAGAGCTGCGCCGCCCTCAGCGCCAGGCGCCGCCTCCGCTCATCCGCCGCCACGTACACAGCGCCAAGGCCGCCGACCACGCCGAAGGCGCGGAGGGGAAGACGCCGCATGGCTGCGCAAACGTGCAGGGGAGCACACCGAAGCCAGCTTTCAAGAAGGGTTGGAGTTTGGGCCGAAGCTTTTTGGTAGGACTGGGCTCGCTTCAAAAGATTGCTTTCCTCTTGTGTCAACATACTGAGCCTGTGAGAACCGGGCCCGTCCAAGTGGAAAGCTACACGCAAGGGTCGAGCAGTGACAGACAACACACCGCGTGTGATCAATAGCCAGGCGGACCAGGAGGCGGCGACGGGCCCCTTGCCTGGGCACAGTCTCAAGTAGCACACGCTGGTGGGAATCAGCCGACTCCTAAGTGAGGAAGTCCGGCATTTCGGGATCTACTACTACGACGACGATTGCTGCTGCTGCTGCTGCTCTCCTCCTCCTCCTCCCACTCCTCCCACTCCTCCACTCCTACTACTCCTACTCCTATTCCTACTCCTACTCCTACTCCTACTCCTACTAATCCTGCTGCTACTACTACTACTACCACTACCACTACTGCTGCTACTACTACTACTACCACTACCACTACTGCTGCTACCACTCCTGCTACTGATGTGCTGCTGCTTTTGTACGGTGCTTATGTATAGGTGATACTGGAATCATGTAGTTACTATTGCACACAACGAGCAGATGTACGTTGGCAAACCCCAATACCTACATGAGATGTTGGCTGGTAGAGCCCACACCCTGAGAGGAGATGTAAGCTGGCACGCCCCGAACCCTGAAAGGAGATGTTGGTTGGCAAACCCCAAACCCTTCTTCGCAACTGGGCAAACCCTAAAAGGAGATGTAGCTGGCACACCCCGAGCCTACAAGGAGAGTTTGGCTGCCAAAGCCCGAATATGGCGATGCCGAGTAACAAACCCCAGACATGTTGGCTGGCAAAGTCCGAAGATCTTGGCTTCCAAAACCTCAAACTCCGAAAAGGAGACTTCGAGTAACGAACCCACTCTAGCAGAGCATGTTGGTTGGCAAACCCCAAACTCTAGCAGGACAGGTTGGTGGGCAAACCGAAAAACGCGAGGAGATATTGGTTGGTGAACCTTGCCCCTAAAAGGAAACCCGGCTAAACCCTGAAAGGATGTGTCTTTCTTTCTGCTACTACGACGACGACGAGCACTGGCACTAGCACTGCCACTGCCACTGCCGCTACCACTGATACTGGTACTGGTACTAGTACTGGTACTGGTTCTAGTACTACTACCTACTACTACTACTACTACTACTACTACTACAGTAGTAGTCAGTAACTACTACTACTACTACTACTACTACTACTCCTCCTCCTAATACCACCACTACTCCGACACCCACCGCTACCACTACCACTACCACTACCACTGCCACTGCCAGTGCTGCTGCTGCTACTTGCTACTTTCTACTTGCTACTGCTGCTGCTACTGCCACTGCCACTGTCACCACCACCACCACCACCACCACGACTGTCTACTTCTACTACTCTTACTCCTACTCCACCTACTACTACCACACCACCAGCACTGCCACTACCACTACCACTACGACTACTACGACTACTACGACTACTACGACAACGAATACGACTTCGACTACGACGACGACGACGACGACAACGACCACTACTACTTCCACTACCACTGAGGTAGCCACGGCGTGACAGCGACGACGACAACAACGACGGCGACTGCGACTACGACGACGACGACGACGAGAAGATGGCTTCTACGAGTAATCCCATTACAACTAAAAGGAATAATAGCAACAATTTTGCAATTTACCGCTCCCAAGCAAAGGAACACGAAAGAAAACTAGGAACAACAATCATGGTCATCACCACTCTGCTACACTCCTAGCCGTGACAATATGTCCCCACCTGGCCAGATTCTGGGTGGCAGGCGTGGATTGGGCCATTGTGCGAAAGCCAGTCATCTCCTCAGTCTTCACAGACTTCTTGCATGAGGGGCATAAGGGGAGCTGGGTCTGCATGAGAAACCCTCAAGGCTGGCGCAAGCTGTGCCGACTCTGGGGAACGAACTCTCTGCTGGGACCTCCGGCTTCCTGCCAACACAAGACCAGTCTGGTCCGGAGCAAGGGCCATGGTAAGCATCCGAGTTCCGGGCACCGTTCTTACCTCATGTCGCTGCAGCCAAAGCACCAGAACACAGAAACATCGCAGAAGGCCACAGCAGCAAAGAACCCCCCAACTCGGACCAAGCAGCCGCTCGCTTCTTGGCCGCGCGTGCTTTGGGAGCCTGGGCCTCGGAATCTCGGAAGCCGAGCCGCCAGGCTCAGAGCCAGGCGAGGAGGCCGCGACACCAGTTGTAGGGCCTAAAGGCGACATGCAAAAGAAAGACCGCGACCTAGCTGCGGGAGTCCAAGGGTCTGGCGAGGAGCAGGTTCAACTTGCTCCGTCTCTATCCAGGCCTGCATGACATGTCGACTGTGTCCGCCAGCGCTGCGCTCACAACGTGATCGCTGGCTAGGTGTACTGGAGCACGAATCTGTCTCGAGCATCGCATCTACGAAGCAGAAGCTAATGTCAGCATGCTTGAACTTACCGATCTCAGTCCTGGGCATCCTGGACACGACAATACCTTCCTAGTCAGCTGGCTTCCGATTGCTCAAGTTTCGCGGCGTGCTTCTCTGGTGCAGTGATGAAACGGTGTTCACCGCAAACGCACGAGCAACTTCTACTGGCAGTGCATCAGCTTAGCTGTCACTGTCCAAGAGCAACGAAACGGCACACTAAATTCCTGAAGATGCGGGTGCCATCTTGCCAAAGCCGATGCAAACGAGTCCATAAATATGCATGGTAAGTCTCAGCACTTGGTACTTGAAGATCAACTGCCCCACTTCAGTCTTCAAGAAAGTGTCGGCAGGAGCTTTGCCTGGTTGGATCTGATTCCGAAATCCGAGAGGGAAGCAACGGATGCTTTGGTGTCACACAGGCAATAGCTCGACATGGAGTCCCCACCGTCTCATACTGCAGAAAACTCACCCTGGACCCTTGTGCCACAACCACAACAAATTTCTTCGAGGCCCAACGACAGTCTGCATGTCAGTAGCCAGCACCCGACTTCCAGGATTTGACTTCAAGCTCTAGGGCATCGATCATCCTAAGCTGTGCCAGCTCTGTCTCAGACGGCAAGCTCGAGAGCCAACCTTAGCTCGTCCCAGCTCAGCCCACGGGTGAAGACTTTCGAGATTGCTCACAGGAAGTAGGGCGCTTTGATTGTTTTCCTCAGTAGAATAGTTTAGGCGATCCCTGCAGTAAAAGCAAGGCTGCGCTAAATCGCTGGCCCACTTCAATTGCAGAACCACTAAGTCGCAAAGCGTCACACTCAGAGCCTACAACGCGCCTACGATCATTCTGGTGCCGCACTTCGCGCGGCACTGGTCTCGCTTAAGCCGTAGCCAAGCATCCCCAGAAGCGAAATGCAGGCCTTCGGCAGCGGGTCAATCGGAGGCCACTTGGACGAGTGACTTGAGACACCTGGGCCGTCCAGACAACGACCAAGTCCGGCCTTTACCTTCGATCTCTGTCCCTCACATAGTCTCAATTGAGCTTGCTAAGGCCATCGCGCCCACGTGCCCTTGGCATCCATATTCACACATGTGCTCCAAGAACTTGGGGAAATCTATCCTGAATCCAGAAACTGACCATGTGGCTGTGGAACACGACGCGCCTTAAACTCTAAACCCTTATAGATCCCTTATAGTAAGCCAGAGTAGACCACTACAGTGGCCCTTATAATAACCGTTAGGATGGCCCCCTTAACCCTGAACCCTAACGGCAGAACGACGTGAACAGGGCTCGGCGCATCCCCGAAGACTTCCCGTGCCAGTGCCACGTCCTCGGCGCTCAGCTCGACTATTACCGAGAATACGAATGTACCATACTACACCGTACCGCAAGATGCCCGAAGACACTATCATACTGGAACGGAATGGCTGCATTGGAATCCTCCAAGATTACCGCAAAGACTCCACCAATGTATGAAGATGTGTGTGCTTGTCTCGGAAATCCCCTCCGGCAATGTCGTCCACAGTGACGAAGGCACGGCCCTTCGCATAGGTGCTTTGGAAAATCCTGCAAAAGCCACTCTTGACCGCAGTTGCCTAGGGGCGTGAACTTTCATGCACGATCACGACCCGTAGTCGCCTCTTCGGGGCACCTCCAAACAAACCTAAGGGATTTTGTTATTAGTTTAACCAGAAGCCAGCCCCCATCCTTTCAAGCTGCTTCCGCTCGTCATCATCGATGAGTCTAGGAGGCTCCTGCCGAAGTTTTTCCTGAGCGATTCCGGAACACAGTGCTAGTTTGTTCCCGTGCCCGGTACCCCTTCGCCTTAGACCAGAAAAGCTGGCAGCGATCAAGGCACCAGTTCGTGGGCGCCGATCCAAGCCAGCAGCTCTGCAACCACCCGATTGGATACAGTGGGGTAGGCCCATAACAACAGCAGCCCCAGAGACAGCCCCTCACTCCGCTGTGCATTGCTTGCACAAGCCCGAAGCCAGAGTCGTGCTCCACGGAAGAGGGCAGAGCAGGCGCGACGTGACTCTGGGTGAACTCCGAAGCTCGCTTCCTGCTCAACCCAGCGGAAGAAGGTGGCCCAGGAGACTCGAGACAGAGGATCTCTGGAGATTTCCTCGTCGTCGGTTTGAAAGGGCTCGTCTGGCTCTAACTTGCCCCACTCCACCAGTCTCTGTCGATGTCTCTCC